TTTCTAGCATTGTAAGTCCGCAGACATACCGCTGTGCCACTGGGGGGCCGACTTATGTCGCTGATCTTTCTGTTCGTGGATTCTCACCTGTTACAAGACGCCGCACTTTCTTTACCACAACTGGGGTACAAATTGTTGTATGTCTCTTTCTAGGTGGTCTTAGTGCTCAACGTTCTTTTGTTTTTCAATGCCATTTAGAACATAGGATATCTCCTTCTTGAAAATTCTAAATCTCTACTCTTAACACAAAGTTATGATCTAAGTGTACAGATATTTTTCTAAAAGCGATCAATAGTCAGTGGCATCACAGTACCTCTGAAACGCCAAACAATGTAAAAATGTAGTTCTATACATGCTGTTCCATCATGACTTTATATCAGCTGTGGTTGTCACGTGACTTGCTGATTTCCATATTCAAAATCGTTTTCAATATAACGTACTCAACCCTTTGTATATTTTGTGTGCTTATTAAATTTCTAATAAAGATAATCCTGCTTTATCATTGAAATTAGCGTATATGTGTTTACAGTAGTAGAATTTATGTTTGGAGCTTAAACAATAGAGCTGAAGAAAAACTTAAAGTAATAAAATTAATCCTAAATTCAAATACTTGTACTTACGTGCCTAATATACATATATAACCAAGAGATAAATGTTCACAATACCGTGAAGACTTGCATCAAACAAATTTCTCTAACAGAGAATAAGTATATCACATAGCTGATATAAAATGGTTATTATATCTCGTTGTTGACGCTAACATCTCGTTGAAATGTAGAACAGATACAGTAAAGAATTCTATTGAATTCTCAGAAAAGTAAAAGATATAAATAAATAAAACCCTTCTTATAAGTAGGACTTGAATAAAACAACAGTGATGCGCCATCCTTCAAATAATTCACTCAGAAAATCTTGCAGAATTATATTCAAATAGAAAAAAAAATGAACGATGGGTTTATAGATATATAAATATATAACTATATAAACTTTTTAATGGACTAAATGTTCCTATGCAACATTTCATATATATAAACTTTTTAATGGACTAAATGTTCCCATGCAACATTTCATATATATATATATATATAAACTTTTTAATGGACGAAATGTTACTATGCAATATTTCATATATATAAACTTTTTAATGGACGAAATGTTCCTATGCAACATTTCATATATGAATCTACAAATATAAATTATGCTAATGTTCTAAATAACATGTGCATGAAACTTCGTGATGTCTAATAGATGCCCTCAAAATAACTTACAGCTTTTATGGATCTCTTCGTGCCATACCTATTTTAATAAAAACTAAAATAAAAATATGTTTTTGCGTTACAGTTTTCTTATTCCAAGTTAATGCCATAAGAAATTCAGCAAAAATTTACAGTTTCTACGAAACTCTTCTTGCGCTAATTATTCTAATTCTCTCTCTCTATATATATATATATATATATACCTTTGCGTTAGTTATCTCTTTTCCAGTTCATGCAGGAGTTTTACAAAAACAAGTTACTGAAAATTTTTCTTTTGCATAACATCAGCTTGTTTTCCATGCTATTGTTTCACAACGAAAATAAAACTACATCTGGCTATAATCTGTATATTTCAATAAATCTTTGATAGTGAACGAGTTTTCATGTGTTTTGTAAGTAGCTTCTACTCTTTCTTTAAATGTTAGTTATTAATAACGATATATACGTTTAAATATTGTTGTGTATCTAAGACTGTAATATAATACAGACAAGCTAACAATTCGGTTAAGCAAGAGGAGTCACATTATTTGTCTCCGTGTTTGAACAGTGGCATAACAAACACCAGGGACTTAAATTATTGTGTTCGTGTTTGTACAATATAATATTAAAAACCACATGAAATATATTTGCCTTTTTCTCGCTACAGTAAGTGTTGTCTGTCCCGTATTCTTATTGAAATAGCAATAATAATACCACCACAGAGGTAAAAGACGTCTTACAAGCTCCAGTGAAATTCCTGGATACACATATGTTATTAAAGATTACTGATAGAAAGTATGCTACCTATGCGGATCACAACCAAAATACCTAAAATTGACACATTCATTGATGAAGACAATCTTATATAATGACCAGAATAGAATTACGTAATGTTATTATTCACTGTACCAAGAAACTGAAACCTACAATCTTTGCATTTAACCACCATTTGTTCTTTTCTACTTAATGTTTCCGATTAACTTAATTAAAGACAAATGAAAACAAAAAATATGAATTCTGCATTTCAACGCCATTTTAGCTGTAGGTGAATAAACAGTATACAGTTAGGTAGAATGTAGATGACACGTGTTACCCATGATAAGGTGGGATGGAGATATAATCTGCATTATATACAGGAGTAAATAGGATGTATAAAAAGTTGTGTTATACAAGATTATATGGGATGCACACAGAACTCGTATTGAACACGAGTAAATAGGATGTATGTTATACACGATTAGATGGGATGTAGATACAATTTGTGTTATACACGAATAGATATAATGTACATTATTTTGTGTTTACACAATTACATAGGATGTAGATAGAATTTATTTTATACACGATTAGGTAGGATGTAGGTAGAATTTGTGTTGTACACAATTAGATGGGATATACATATTGTGTTATACACAATTAGATGGGATATACATATTGTGTTATACACAATTAGACGGGATGTACATAATATGTTATCCATAATTAAGTAGGATGTATATAAAAGTTCTGTGTTATACGTAGTTAGATAGGTTTTCGATAAAAGCTCTCTGTGTTACACATGATTAGATAGAATGAAGATGAAACTTGTATGTGCTATACACAATCAAAAATTCCAGTCATCACATCATATTTAGTCTGGTTATAAAGTTTTATTGTTATAACTGGTGCTGTAGTTACAGAAAAATACATGATGCTATATTTTCACAGTTCATCGAAATGGCTACATAAAATCAGATATTTTTTGCAAGTTTACTTCGAAAATATGATATGGTTAATAAAATATAAAAATACAAATTATCTTATACAATGCAATAAAATTGGTTATTAAGTTATAACTTTAGTAGCCATGGTGTTTTGGAACTTTTTGTGTATAAGGTATATTTTTTGTATTATATATTCTGGTTTGGTGTGGAATAACATGAAAGATGTTTATATTTAAGTTGGCTTGGGGACTGTATCGATTAGAATTTAGGATACTAGTTCTATAATTTGTAC